AAGACAATGGGTCGGAATAAGGACGACAGAAATAATTGTGGAATTAATTTAAGTTGACAATTTCCTTTTTATTAACGAGACATATAATATTGACCTACCTCAAATTATAGTCTTTCAAAGCTGTTCTCAGATTTTTAAAATAAATGGATCGAAAGTATAACCATAAAGCAATAACAGCAATTCTATGCATTGCTGTTATTTCCGTAACACAGGAAGCCCATGACTTGTATAGATATGTGGTTTAGGCGAGATGTACAAAGAGAACAGAGTTATGATTGGATAAAATGAGAAATAACTGAAGAGATGCATGAGACCAAATGAAGAGGTAAGATTTTCTTTGTTTATTATCAAATACTTATAATAACAATACATATTTTGAATTATATATGATTTCTTTAATATGTGTGATTTGAAGCTGACGGAATGGACAATATCTAGCGTGCGTCCATCCAATGAGGGATGCACGCGGATAGTTGGGAGAGCACGAAGCTAGCGTAAGAGATGCTCGAGACGCAGTCGAGAGCATCTCTAGCTTGCTGAGTGCTCTCCCAACTATCCAAGTGCATCCCTCATTGGATGGACGCACAAGCTAGATATTGTCCATTGCTTTTATAACATAGTGAGACATTTTTTCGCGTCAAAAAATTATTTTATGTTCTGATCAAGGGACGGATTCTCCTTAGCGTGCGAGCACAAACTAAAAATAGAACAACTTGATTTCAAGTCAGTATTTTTATTCAAACCAAATGTGAGTCACGAAATTGTGTCGAAATACAACTCATAGGAAGTCTAATCTACAAATATCTGGCTTCAACGTCAAATTCAAAGTTTGCTTGGAGCTTTGTCTACTCAAAAGATCAAACGTTTTGATAAAATCACAAGTTATTTTGGAGGATTCGCCAAGGATGAGGAGGCGACGACTTGCACGTTTTGGATGGTACAGTTGCTGAATATTGAGTCAAAATTGCATACCATCGGCCTCATCTCATGGTTTTGTGACCTAGCAAACTTCTCAACTTCTCAAGGTCTTCATCTTCAATCGTCGGCTTGTGTTKACTGTTTTCCTTGCCTAACCTCTTGAGTTGAACAAGCTGTGCGTCCAGCATAGAGTTTGATCTTGAAAACCTTGGGTCTGTTGACATCTTAAGATTTCTCGAGAACTGTGGCTGATTTAGATATCTTTCGATGCTGTGGCGGAAACCTAGGAGGGTCTTCTTGCCGTACGTCTCGCCATCCTTTTTTYTTGCCTCTRCATAAAATCTTCTCAGATTTGCATCAAGTTGTCCAATCGTCATGTTTTCAAGCTCTGTCTGAAACTTTTTCTCTTTGCACCATGCTGTAAATTTCAAGAAAACGAGGTAAAAATATGATATTTAAACTTAGTCAATTTATTGACAAAATACTTTTTTTTTTTGCTCATTGTTTATCGTCCGGATAGTCAGGTGATTTCAATATTATTGTGTACGTATTAAAGTTTATTTATCAACTTTAAGTAGAAAAAATACCTGTCTAAAATCTGAAAAACTTACCTT